ACTCTTTCTGTATGGGCAGGTCCTTCTGGTATGTTCCAGAGGCCGCATGTGCCTGGTCAACTGTCCTAAAGGCATTTACCAAAGGCAGGGCCCCATTGAACAACTTTGAGTAAGTTTGTCATTTTCTCCTCTGTAAACTGGGGAGATAGAGTGCATGTCATGGGTTGTGGGGAGGATCTGTGAAGATGCAGGTGACTGGCTTTGAGGTGCTGGCCAGTGTTGAGGAGAGCCTGAGCCCTGCCCCCAGCAGGATGTCACACCTTCCCCAGGGCTCCCACAAGTGCAGTGTCTCAGAGGCAGCTAGTCCCACATCAGAGGCTTGTTGGGGTGTCAGGCACATCTTCTTCTGTAACTGCTAGAATGTGACCTCTGTCCTTAAGCCAGGAAAGGACATGGGAGGCCTGAGCTGTGTGGCAGAGGCCAAGCCCTGTCCTGAAAGTCCTGTGCAGGCTGGTGCTGCCGCCTCTCCTGGGCCATGGGAAGGTTATCTGTGGTGGACTCTGGCCATGGGGAAGGCTGGACCCTGCTGAAGGAGCCGCTCTGGACGTGGTTACAGGCCTGGGAACTAGGAGTGAGCCCGTTGACATGGTGGGACCGTCCCTGATGGTGGTGACCCTGGCGGTTTATCTATAAGGAATCGTGTTCCTTACCATCTTCCACGTCATTTCCCCAGCTCTCAGACCCGTAAAGTTAAAAATTTACAAAGTGGCATGCACACACAGTTGGAAAACTAAAGAGCACCAAAAGGCTTATGAGAAAAGATAATGCCCACCCAGGCCCCTTGCCGCTTCCCTCCMKGGGCAGTGACTTTCAGCTCTCCGCAGCGTTCCTGCTCCGCCACCTTATCTGCATGTCCCCAGCAGCTCGACTGTGCTGCGCTTCTCACTCAGCCTACCCTAGGCCTTTCTCCTCTTACAGCCCCCATTCGGCAGCGGCTCGGAGTTTGGGGAGGTAAGGCTCCCTGTTTAATGCTGATGGTGCAAACCGTTGGTGCCACTGAAGTGAGTGATATTCCTTCAGTCACTTTATGCCTGTTGTTTTCTCTTTTCTAAAAGCACCAACACCTTTGTCCCCTGCCTGTCTCTATTTCTTCCAGCTGCTTAAGTGCAGTTTACCGGGCCTTTGATCCATACCCCCTCCCCCAGGGGTGGCGGGCCCTGACTTCTCTTCCACAGGAAATCCCCTGTGGCTGGGTGTGCCACCTTCCTCACTGCTGCCCTGTGGGCCCCATTTCCTGGAGTTGRTGGTTTCCTCCCTGTCCTTTGAGTCCCAGGTTCTGCGTCCTCGTCCCTGGCAGCTTCCTAAGAGAGCCCCTGGAGGCGACCTTTCCAAGGGCATGCACATCTGCACGGGCCTCTACTGAGCCTCCTGTCAGCCACCTGACAGTGGCTCAGGTGTGGAACCCCAGCATTCCTCAGAACTTGGAGGACGTCTTTTCTTTTAGCTGCACCTGTGGCTGAAGCATGATGAATCTGACTCCACCTCTGCTGTAGGGCGCCTGCTCACTCCCTCTGCGGGTGTGTAGGTGGTTTTGGGGTGATTTGCTGCTTTGCTCTGGGGTGGGGCTCCCTCTTCTCTGGCTGGACCACTCAGGACCTCTCAGGGCCAGGTTCACGCTCTTCCCTTGACTTCTCTCTGAACTTGGCTGGCTCCCCAAGAACCTTCTTGGTTCTTTCCCCTCATCTCGCTCCTCATGTTTGCATTTTACCTTCTGGAAAATTTCCTTAACTTTCTCTTTCAGTGGTTTTAAAARTTTTTAATTTTAGTTATTTTACTTTTTAAATTTCTCATCTCTTTATATCATTCTCCCAGGGCTCCTCTTTCACAAGTCTTTACAGGGTGCTCTTCTTGTTTGTGGGATGCTGTGTGTCCACTGTTCCCAAGGATTCCACTGTCCTGTGGTCATCCCTAGCTTTCTGGTTTCCTCCTGTCATCTGTGATAGATTCCAGTTCTCTTTTTTATTTTTGTTCATGTTTGAACCTTCCCCCCGGAGCCAGGTAGTCAGTTGACATTTAGGGGCAAGGCGCTGGCTGGTGGGTTGGAGCTGGTGGGCTGCATGGTGGGGCACCTTTGTAGGGGACGCCCCCAGAGTCCATGCTGGTCCACCTCCGGCACACTCAGCCTCTCAGTAACCAGGCTTCCAATGTCCGGCGTTTAGGAGAGACACTGGGAAGTGGGAAGGAGGTCAGTGAGCCCCAGGCATGGTGAGGGGGCACCGTCCAGTGTGCAGCCAACCCCCTGTYTTTAGTCTAGAGCTGCACTTCCTCCCCCACCTGCTTCCCCGCCGGGCTGGGGTTCTGCAGTCCTTCTGCAGAAATGGGGCGGGGACTGGGATCTTGCTGCTTTGGTCTGGTCCACCTACTGGGGTCCGAAATTCAGACCTGCTTCCCACCCTCACGCTTGTGGTGTCTGGGCCTGGGCTTCGGGTTGGAGGCCTCCTCCTTGAGCATCAGCCACGTGGGCCCTTGTAATAGTCCCCTCCTCTGTGGGGCCCCCACTGGCGCATTCCACGGTTCCGGCCCTGCTGGTGTGCTCCTCTCTGGCTCTTGGTTTTGGCAGGCTCCTGCTTTGGCTACTGTTCATTGTGGGGATGTTGGCAGGGAGGAGAGATCTGCCCCGCCTGGTTATCAGCCCACCTGCCTCTCCTCCTCACAGGTTCCTGCACCCTGGGGAAAAAGCCAGAAAAGTGAGAGCTTCTCACAAGCATGTGTGTGTGTGTGCGTGCAAGGGTTAATGTGAGCCCCGTGCCAGGCTCTGCAGGCACTGTGGTCCTCAGCAGCCTTGGACAGAGCAAATGGTTAGGGAACAAGGCRGGAAACAGGGAGGTTAGCCAGAGGAAAAGTGACCTCAGTGTTAGCATGGGTCTCTGCCTCATGGATGGCCACTTGGGAAGTGGCTGGAGGGTGAGCCCCTGAGGCAGAGAGGACCCAGATGCCCATGCAGCTCAGGGGTTCAGTCCTGGAAGCTTCATTTAAAAGTGTGCTTGCTGCCTTACCTAGGGGAGCCAGCAGGCGCGTGGCTGCACACTCTGGGCTCTGCTCAGGTGGTCGGCTGCTCATTCCTTYCTCTGGGGGGTTTTGATTGAGCCACTTGTGTCAGGCACTGTGCTTGGTCCATGGGTGAAATGGCAAGCAGTGTCTTGGGGAAGCTTCTAGTCCTGGACAGATGAAGCCTTTGGGCTCAGGTGAGGTCTGTCTGTTYCCTGTAGGGCCTTTGGTCCTCCACCTTGTACCCCAGCCCCCCAGAGCCTTCCCTTCCTGGGCTCTGCTGCCTGACAGTGGGGTTTGAAGGTTTCTGTGTGGTGCCCTAGGGGTGTGCACACTGGGTTCTGATGCTGCCTTGGGTCAGTCAAGGGCACCTCTCCTCACACTGTGGCGTTGATCTTGTAGCTGGTCTGCCTGACTTGGGGAAAGGGACTGGGTTGATAGCTCCATTGGTGACTAGATCTGGAAGAAGGTCTGGGAACACCTTGCTGCAAGTGGGGAGCTGCTGTGTGTGGTGCTTCCCTGGARTCCTGCTGCGGGCCATCCAGGAAGATGCCCTCTAGGCCCCGTCTTGTCCCAGGGTGTGGCTCCCTGTGGGGCTGGAGGACGGCTACACACACACTTGGAGCATTATCCCCACGCCAGTCCTCCTTCCGCTTTCAGGTCAAAGAGACTTGCACACTTAGCATCCGGACCAGTCTTTTCCCTTCCGTGTATTGCTAATTTACACTTGTTTAGTTTGAAAACCAAGCATTTTTCTGCTGCCAGCTGCCTTCTAGCTCCTCCGAGGCAGCCTCCCAGGCGGCTGGGGCAGGCTCCAGGCTTGTCTGGCCCACCCTGGCCTACAGTGGTGGAGGCTGTGGACTGCGGGGTAGGCCGGCTCAGTGGGCAGGGATGGGCTGGRCGGGGCCGGCTTGTGTAAGGAGAGGAGCCGCTTTCAGCAGCTTGTTAGCATTGTCAGGAACGTGTCAGATCCAGGACTGGATCCCCGTGTAAACCTTAGACACAACAAAGAGCATTCAGAAGGCAATGGCTTCCAATCCCCTCTTGTGTGTCCCACATTTGGCTCTGCTCCCCGGGCTTTCTGGACGCCCCCTTTGTGATGCTGACCACGGGGTGCAAGGCTATGTGATGTGGTCACATTGGCAGCTGGGTGAGAGCRCAGACCAAGCCCTGGCCATCTAGTGATGGGGCAGCCTGGAGAGGAAGGAAGAAGGGAGAGGCTCCTTCAGGCCTCTTGCTCCTCCATCGGGCCTCCTGCAGCCTCTTGTTCACCCAGCAAGGACACCATGCAAGGACCCAGGCCAGCCCCGCCCTGTCCCGCCTTGCCGGGCACATCCAGGCCTCACCCTTGAGCATTCCCTGCAGGAGAACTCCCTCAGCTGCAGGAGAGGACATGGCTTCCAGTGAGACTAGGAAGGGGACACCGAGTCTGGTTTCATTTTTCAATCACGATGCGTTTCTGACCTTGAATTCCACTTTCAAGGCTGTTCCAAGAAGACACAGTTTGGAAGCAAGTGTAACTGACCTGTGCCCCCTCAGTCCCCAGCAGAACCCCCTGAATAACATGCCTGCTGGCCCCGCCCAGGCAGGAGGCTGCCAGTCACCCCACAGGGTGCATTCCACACCCCATTGGGCTTTTCTGCACCCTACACCCCGAGTAAGTGGTCATGAGCACCCCGAGTAAGTGGTCATGAGCACCCCAATGTGCTGACTGACCCCAGCCCTTCTTGGTCCATTACAATAAAGTGGCTCTTTTCCCTTAGAACCATTTTTGTCAGGGTGTCTTTAATCAGTGGCTTCCCCAGGGACAGTATTTTTAGAAGTTGTATTTTTCACACTCTCCCTTTTCCCCTTTTGGAAATTCTCTTCCCCTGCCTAGTGAAACGGACTAATGAGATGCCAGGAGACTTGGGGCCGTGTTAATTGGAACAGGTACAGAGGAAGCGGCTCGTGCACACCTTCAGCTCCATCTTGTCTCACCTGCGATCCTCTCCCCCGTCTCTCCGGCACAGGTGGCACAGACGGCAGATGGTGTGGACGCTGACCTCTGGAAAGACGGCTTGTTCAAGTCCAAGGTTACCAGATACCTGTGTTTCACAAGATCGTTTTCCAAAGAAAATGTAAGTGTAGGGGTGGTTTCTATTTGCTGAGTGGGCACAGATAATTATATTCCTGTTTGGAATTTCCTCATTTTTTGTTGTGGTTTCTTTCATTGCTGTATTAATTTATCTGAGGTTTTAGTGAACTGGGTAGAATCGGCAGCCAGCRCTGGGTTTCATTTATTAACAGTATTATTAACCATGTACCCAAGTGCACAGTGAATTCCATTAAAGTGTGTTCTCAAAAGGAATTTCTCTCACAGCTCTCATTTGCCTACTTTCCTTCAAGTGACAGATCACGGTGGTGTGGACATGACCGCCTTCCAGTGGAGCTGGAGTTGATGCTGGCCAGCAAATGGCAGCCCCACTCAAAGGGGACCTGCCCTACCTGCTCCTGGTTCCCAAAGGGACTCCCCCTTGAGTCTCTGTGGACATTAGCTGTCCATTGTTTCCTCGATAGGTATTCACTTATGCAGATTTCTCTTAATATGCTGGGTTTTGTTACTTGGATCCATGAATTAGGAAACTTTAAATATCCCTACTAAGTCTTTCCCAATAAGGTGTTTCAATGGGCGGCTTAGAAAAGAGAGAAATAGCTCTGTTATTTCTCCCCCGCATCAGGCCTGCCTTATTGGCCCCTCACCCAGTCCCTCAGCATTGCCCTCCCCATAAAGACGGACACTGAGAGTTGAGTTTAAGGCTTGTCCAAGGCCACGCTCTTCCCTGGCCTCAGGTGGGGAGCAGCCCGATTCTCATTTTCAGTGGGGAAGTTTATTGCTGGCCCACATAGTTACTTCTCTTTCTAATGCGAATGTTTTTGTTTTTTTTTAAACATTTTACCAACTTATTTTTATAAACTTTGCTAAATAGTAATGTATGTTCATGGTTAAAAAAACAAAACCAAACCATAACAATGACTTCAAACACCGTCACCCAGAGGCCTGGGCAGGGAGGAGTCTTCCTCTCCATCATAGCCCTCAGCCTGGTGCCATGTCACGCACCTGGGTGTGTCCCTTCCAGTGTGGCCACAGGTGGGCCATCCCGCTCTCTGGCTTCCACCCTCTTCCACCCGTTCCTGTTTTTTGTTGGGAGAATTGCTCCTCATGTGTTCAGAACTTGGTTAGGTTTCCCCACCTTCAAGAGCAACATATTTGCTGGTTGTAATGTACTGAGCTTATAATGGAGTAGGGAAAGTCCTGGCACTAAGTGCTGGAAATCTTCTGAACACATTTTCAATACCAGGAAGGCAGCAGCTGAGCTGGGGGACGCCTCACCGTGAGCTGGCAGCCTGTCCACACGGCTGCCTCGGGCTCACTGTGGCCTGAGGGACACCATGGAGCAGGCCAGGAGGTGGCATTGCCTTTCCAGATGTTAGGCTCATGGGGCTGGGGGTGGCACCCATCCTAGAGCTTCCTCACTGCCCACCCCCAGGGCGCTCTTCCTGCCCTTTGTCCCTGGGCATGACCTACACTCTTTTTGAAACTAGTTCTATTTTTAGCTTTTGTCACCTTTGTTCTGTCCACCATCCCATCTGCTGCTTCCTGCAGGAGGTCAGTGTGCTACTGAGGCTTGGGGCTGCAAGCAAGGCTCCCGAGGACTTGAAGGAACACTGTTCATGCCCTCTGTCCCCTGCTGCTTCCCAGGTCTTCCTTCCTGGTCACAGCTCTGTGATCACTTTTGGTTCCTTGGACTTTGACATGACAAAGAAGTCACAGGGCCTTGTTTGTTTTGGGTGTCTTGAATAAGTGTCTTATAGAAAATGTGTTGCTTTCCTCACTATTGGCTGGTCACTGCGCAGCTGTGTGTCGTTGGTGCAACGGGCAGGGAGAGGCCGAGGGCAGGGAGAGGCCGAGGGCAGGGAGAGGCCGAGGGCAGCGGGAGCAGCCCCCACCCGCCCCCAGCAGTGTGAGAGCAGGTGCGTTTCATTTTTGGAAAAAGAGTGAATGGGTCCTGTATGGGTTCCAAATGATCAAATCCATAGATTGAATTTGGTTTGGGATCAAATCCGGAGGTGGCGGGGCCACTTGCTGCCCCAGAGTGAGGCAGGGGCCGGGTGAGCTTTGGTCCTTACAGTCGTCCGTCTTGGTCCCGCAGTGTGGGCGAGGGCTGTGCAGAGTGCGGTTTTTACAGCCGTGCAGGAGGGTGTGGGATCTCCAGACTGGGCAGAGTCTTAATTAGGCGACTCGAGACTCCCAATGTAGGAGTTTTGGGAGCCTCCTCTGGAACCTAAATTCCTTTCCCCCAATAATGCTATTAATACAGAAACCTGGCTTTGGAGTGACATTGCTTCCTGGGGAAGGATCGAGATTAATTGCACTTTTCATGCCCTGTACTTTCTGCATTACCTGTAATAATAATGTACATAGATTAGGTAGGGAGGATATTAAACAGAAGGATTTATGAACATTTGAATATTAAGTTGGTTATCTGTGGCTACCTTAAATGCAAGGTTGTCAAAAATAATTACAGTATACTAGCAAATACTGGCTACCAGAGACAATATAAATACCCTGAGTCAGTGCATATTGGGCTTTTGGCATGAATCATTTGCTCAACAAGGATTGGGAATACGTTCTTCATATTTATGAGGAGGAAATGAAAGAGAGCACGGGTGGGGGAGGGGAGAGGAACAAGCAAAATTAATGGTGTCGCAGACCTACCGTATTAAACCCTGAGCGGTGGCAGCCCCAGCCCTGTGTGTGGAGGGCCACTTGGGCTGCGGAAGCATCCACGGTGCAGCCTCCCATTTTGCATGCACGGAAGGATTCTCCCGGGCTCCTTTTAATGGCCGCACCACTGATGCTCTGGTTTTATGACCGGGGACGTTTGTAGAGAGTGTGGAGGGCGAGGTCGCTAAGTGGTTTGCAGTTGACTTCTGGAAGCCCAACTTGTCAAGGAGGAGACATTTGAGAAGGATACTGATGAATTCCCATCCATCTACGGGGTAGCAAACATGCCCGGTTGTTAATTCCTCAATGCAGAAAGCAGTGACGACGTGGAAAAGCAACTGCCATGAAAAAAAATGATGATAGATTAGATCAGGCGATTCTGGAAGCAGCTGATGTTCGTGAGTCAGGTTAACGGTTCAAACCCCTCCTGCGAGCTCAGAGATTTATTCCATGCAGCGCGGGCCCCTCTGCACTCACTGGGCCGCTCTGTGCATTGTCTTCCTGAGGCCCCGCTCCCTGAGACCACGTCGTGTTCGGGCTTGGTGAGCACGTGGTGCAGAGAGGGAGAAGGGCTTGGTGCTGGCAGGGCCATGAAAACACCGGTTGTGGGTTACACTAGCCACTTGACCTTCGTGTTTCAATTTGAAGAATTTATTTTATTTGTTCGCTTTTGATTTATGATGCATTTGTTAAACATACTTTCATGATTTTTATGATATGGTTTAGATTTGCCCTCTAAGCAAATCCAGTTTGATTTCTGACTCCATGACCCACTCAGTTGAAAGAAATGTATCAAAAAGAAAAAAAAAAGTACAAACACATTAATTTATTCAGTGAATCATTAGTGAGCACCTCCCGTGAGCAGGCGCCATGCTAGGCTGCGATCTGCTGTGGAGCAGAGGTCCCTGTGGTCCTTAAACCCCAGGGGAGAGGCAGATATCAAGCACACAGCCCCACAAATACACGATTGTGATTGACATGAGGGAAAAGAACACCTCCAGAGAGCGCGGCTCAGATAGGGCGTGAGGATTCCCGCGTGGCTTCTCACAGGCCCAGCACTGTGCAGGCCGAGGTGGCCCTGCACACAGTGGGGCCAAGACCCTTCCTCACTAAACGATGGGGACAGTAGCCTGAGAGATTGCTGCCGAGGCTAAAGTCATGCGCTGACTACCTGGACATTGGTCCAGGGACACAGAGAAGTGCACGGAGAGTGTGCTCATGCTGGGCTCGGGGGCCAGGCACATCCAGGAAGCAGGGTGCAGGGTGTATTGCTGGGATCCTAACAGGAGAGATTTGGGATGGGAACCCATCATTCCCTCCGTAACTGACTCTGACTAGAGAGAGGGGAACGAGGMTGCGGGTGACTCCGAGGATGTTAATGAACCTCAGTGGTGGCCCTGTGTGTTTAAGTTGTAGGGCAGATTTCTTTAGGGCTGTTTCCAGCATGAAGTACAGGCTGCAAGTGCCAGTGTGCTCAAGAGCATTCTCTCCTGCAGGTACAGAATGGCGCTSTGTCTCAGAAAGATGTGTCCACACTGGTTACGGAAACCGTGCACTGTGGACCCCAAATACCAGCACTAAGCAGGAGCTTAAGAGGCCCTCGKGCGTGTCGTGTTAGAAGACGTGCGGTGCTGAGGCAGCCGTGTTAGTTTATGATCCCTGGGATTTTGCTAAATGTATCTAGCGACCGAAATGTGTGTCGGTAGCAGGCTGGTGATTGCTCAGGAGTCTGATGGGTTCCCTGTTCAGTTTAGGTGCAGCTCTTCCCGTGCAGGTGCCCAGGAATCTGCTGTTTCTAAAACCTACTGCCCTGAGATCTGGTGCTCAGGGCTGAGTGGCAGCCAGGCCCAGGGACTGGTGTGCACAGCTGCCCTCTGCTGGGTTCTGTCCACATCGTCTGCGGGGTGGCCCACCTGGCTAACCAAGGCCAGTCTGAGTGAATAGCTTTGAAGTTCTGCAGATGAAACTCCTTCCCGGCAGCCACTGAGTCCCTTCGTAACCGCTAGGGAACATTAAGTGTCACCTCCTCTAATTAACCTGCTGTCGTAAAGCTGTACAAGTCATTGTGTTAAATGTGCATCTTGAAGCCAAAATGGCGAACCTGCTGCAGGCGTGCTCAGCCTAATAGTCTGTGTCTCTCTTTCTTCCCAAGAGTCATTTGGGGAACGTGTTAGTGGACATGAAGCTCATTGACATCAAGGACACGCTGCCCGTGGGCTTCATCCCGATGCAGGAGACGGTGGACACACGTGAGTCTCCCTTTAGCGCTGCTTCTCACRCGAGTCTTCTTCCCCCAAGTGGCATCTGAGGGATTTTTTGTGTGCGTTTTTCTTTGGAAACATTTAGGAGGTCCTACTGTGTGCCCATGGACAGTGTCTGCTGCTTTCTCCGTGCGTCCTCCTTGCTTCCCCAGGGCTGGCAGAGATCCTGGGCAGCCTGTAAGTAAGCAGAGGCCCCTCTCCCTCAGCGGGTGGCCCCAGAGCTGGCCTAGCCAGGTCWGAGTGCGGAGCTGGTGACGGTCGAGCTGCTGAAGCCAGGCTCCACCCGAGACCAGGAGCTCAAGAGGAGAATCAAAGATGCCCGGGGGATTCACATGCAGCCCTGTGTCCACTGGGGGCTCGGAAAGCCAACAACACCAGTGAGAACCAGAATAACCCCGGGCAAGCACACACGGGAGCTGGCTTTGAATACCCTGACCACCAAGGAGCACTGAGCATCAGTGACCTGCTGATGGACAGAGCTGCCTTGGGACGCTGGGCACCTATGGTCTGGTGGCGGTGGTGGTAGGCAGAGCTAGAAAGCTCTGGGCACTGGAGTTTCCTCGTTCTCATTGGGTGTGCCGTGCCCACCAGGTAGAGCAGGGAAGGAGGAGCAGGCACACCCTCTCGGCCTCTTGCGTGACCCCGGGTCACTTATGAAGAAGCTCAGTTCTCATTCTTTGTCATGCGCATTCTTTGTCATGCGCATTCCACTTTTCTGTGCTGGTCCCAGTTGGGCTCACCTTGGCCTGTTGTCATTTTCCTGCTGGCATTCTGTGTGGACCCACGGCAACTGTTGTTTCAGTGAAGCAGGTGAACCCGCCGTTTGGCCTTATCTTCGTTCTCAGTGGCCTCACTTTTTTTTTTTTTTTTTTTTTTTTAAAGAGAGAGTGAGAGAGGGGGGCAGAGAGAGAGAGAGAGAGAATTTTTCTCTTTTTAATATTCATTCTTTAGTTCTCCGTGGAAACTCCAGGTCGTTTTTAGTGTCGTCATCATGTTATACAAGCTACCCTCTCCCTGGCTGGTGTGGACCGTGTGTTTGCTATGCATTAGCCCTGGGGTTTACCTCCCTGACAGCGTTTCATGTTCAAAAGACCCCTCTTTAGAGATCCGTATCATTACACCCATTTTGCATATAAAAAATGAGTTCTAGTAAATATTTAGGGTTCAAAGAATTTAGCAAAGTCTCACACGCACATTTAGAGGTGGGAACCCACGCAGTGCCGCAGCCTGTAATCCCAGCAGCTCAGGAGGCTGAGGCAGGAGGATGGCAAGTTTCAAGGCCAGCCTTAGCAACTTAGTGAGACCCCATGTAAAAATAAAGATTAAAAAGGGCTGGGGTTATAGCTCAGTGATAGAGCGCCCGTGGGTTCAGTCCCTAGTGCCTCCCACCACTGTGCACACTATACCAGGTGCACACTCCAGTCTGTCTCGGCCACTTTTAATCACAGTACCACTGTCTTGTGCAGATAGATTTCATATATTTATGCAGAGGGGTTTTTTTTAACAACCTTATTAAGATACAGTTCAAACATCATTTAATTCACCCATTAAGTACGATTCAGTGATTTTTTAGAATATTTACAGACCACTCTCAATTTTATCACCACAAAGGAAAATCTGGACCCCTAGCCAAGGCTGTCCACTGCTTCCAGCCCTCGCCGCCCCCCCTGCACTCCTGGACGGCCGCTCAGATCTGCTTTCTAACTGATTCGCTTACCCTGTGTGTTTCCTGTGGGTGGAACGTTGTCTTGGGTGTCTGGCTTCTTTCCTCGGCGGGACGTGTTCAAGGCCGGAGCAGGTGGCACCATGGCCCCGAGCTCCAGCTTCCATTGCCAAACACACCACCCRACGGGTGTCCCGTTTTGGTAACTCACTCGGCTGCCGGTTTCGGTCGTTCCTACTTTGGGGCTGTTATGACAATGCTGCTGGGAACGTTCGTGCACAGGTTTTTGAATAGACATGTTTTCAGTTCTCTCGGGTCTCTGCCCAGTTGCTGGGTCACTGCATCTCTGTGCTTCACTTTTAAGGGGACACCAAGCTGTTTCTCAGGGCAGTGGCACCATTTCACGTTCCCATCAGCTGTGCGTGAAACTCTGACTTCTCCATGTCTGACACAGCTGTCCGTCAGTCCTTCTGTTTCCAGCCATCTTCGTGGAGGCCACGTGAGGTTTCTTTGTGGTCTTGACTTCCACCTCCCTAGTGCCCGGGGTGCTGTTGGCCACTCATGTACCCGCTCTGCAGAGACATCCCTTACARTTCTTCGCTCACTTGGTAATGGGTTGTCTTTTGTTATTGAGTTGTAAGAGTATTTTAAGTAGAAGTTCCTTAACAGAAGATGATTGGCAAAAATCTTCTACCATTTTGTGGTTTTTCTCTTCATGTTCTTGATGGTGCCCTTGAAACATGAACTCCACCTCTGCTGGAGCTCTGCTTATCTAGTGGCTGTGCTTTTAGTGTCATAGAAGCCACTGCCCAATCCCACCCAGGTCACCAAGTTTTACGCCTAAGTTTTCTTCTAAGAGTTTATCATTTTAGCTCTTACACTTAGGTCTGATCATATTTAGCTAATTTTTATGAGCTAGGGTCCAGCTTTATTATATTGGACCGATCTAGTTGTCCCTGCCCATTTGTTGACAGGACTACTCTTCCACGTTGGATTGCGTCGGCACCATGTGGAGTGGCGCTGACCGTGAGTGCGGCGTGTTCTTTCTGGACCTGGTTCCATCCCCTAGGTCTCTGCACAGTCTCAATTACTGGAGCTTCGTAGCAAGTTTCGAGATGGGACACATGACTCTGTCACCTCTGTTCATTTTCAAGGTTGTTGTGGCCATTCTGGGTCTCTTGAGTGGCCACACGMATTTTGGGATTAGCTTGTCAGTTTCTGCAAGGAAGCCAGTGTGGTTGGCAGGGCTGGTGTTGCTCTGTCGTGGCTGGGGTGCGTGGGGTTCTAGAGGACGTCCTGTCCACAGTCGGCCTCCACTCTGACTCTCCAGGCCAGTCCCTGTGTCCCAGTGCTCAGACTCTTTGCAGACCCCACCTGTCTCCCCTCGGTGCCCCTTTCTCTCGGGGCTCCAGGAGTTTGGGTTGCCRTTCCCCTTGCCCACAGTTCCCTTTCCTCCTCTTGAAAAGTCCACACCCTGAGTGAGCATCAGGGTGCCCGCTGCAGGAAACCGCCTCTGATCCTAGATCCCACTTGGAAGGAAGCCAGCGCTCCCTCCACACAGCCAGGGTCAGGCGCTGCAGGCTCCAGCGGGAGAGATGGTGACCAGCACCATCCCTCAGGGAGCACGGTCCTGTGGAGGGCAGGCTGCAACAGAGGTCTGCATTGCAGCCAGCGTGACCTGTCCGGGGCCGTGCACACACCTGGCACAGCGCAGCTTGCTGAGGCTGGGGAGGGGCGGGCCAAGGCCAGCAGTGGCAGGAGTGGAAGGAGAGCCATTGGTTCCACCTCCCAATTCCCGCCTTCACCTCTGTTGGGACAAATGGCCACATGGTGTAGGTGGAGGACCCCGGACTCTGGAGTCTGTCTCACTGATGGACAGACTGGCACTGTCCTTGAAGTTGTGGGCTCCAGGTAGATCCTTCTCCCTCCTGGGCCTCAGTTAAAACCTCCCTGCCACGGAGAAGGATGTGAACTGACTCTGTGATGCTGGTTGATGCATGACAGCCACGCACCTGCCTCCCTGCCTTTGCCACTCATCTGTTTCTTTAGGACAGATCATATTTAGATCATCTCTGGCCCTGGCCCTGGCCCTGGGCCTGGGGTGAGGCAGAACATCAGAGGCTGTGGCAAAGGAAGGCAGCTCAGGACATGGCACCAGGAAGCAGAGAGCTCCACTCACCAGGGACAATATATGAACCCCGAGGGTACACCCCAGTGACCTGCTTCCTCCAGCCACCCCCTACCTGCCCACAGTGACCACCAGTTCAACCTACCATGGGGGAGTCCACTGATGAGGTTGAGCTCTCCTCAGCTAAGCCTTCTACTCCTGAAGTTCTTGTGTTGTCACCCACAGAAGCCTTGGGGGCCCTCCTAGCTGAACTACCGCACCTCCCCACGTGGCGCTTTGCATGCAGCGCAGCCTTGGGGAAGGTGAGCTTTGTTGCCAGGTGGACGTCCAGAACCCCTGTCCMCAGTTCCACTGGTGATGTGAGCTTGGGCTTGGTTTCCACAGGCCTGCGTCAGCGTAGGCTTTCAGTTTTTTATTGAGTTTTTCTATTTTAATTGTAGTGACCTCACTGCGTTCCTCACTGGCGAGCTGGACACTTCAGAGGGGTTGGCTTATTGCTTTTTTTTTTTTTTTTTTAAAGAGAGAGGAGAGAGGGAGAGAGAGAGAGTTTATTTATTTATTTTAGTTTTTTTCGGTGGACACAACATCTCTTGTTTGTACTGTTTGTACTGTTGGTATGTGGTGCTGAGGATCGAACCCGGGCCACACGCATGCCAGGCGAGCGCGCTACCGCTTGAGCCACATCCCCAGCCCTGGCTTATTGCTTTTGCTCCGTCTCTTGTGAAGCAACTGCCTATAGACTGAGACTGACTCACAGACGGGCACAACTCGCACTTCTCCCCGGCTCTCTTTAGTTTCACCATCTGCACTGGTTTTCATTTTTGACCAGGAGTTGACCTACAGTGTCTCTATGTTGACACACTACAGAGCCACAAGGGCTTCCCATCCTGCATTTTCCTCTTATTGAGCCAGCTCATTGGGGGGCCCAGGGCACAGCCCCATCAGAGCCCATGGTCTGGCGATGGGGGGCCAGGTGCCCTATCGGGGACGTCTGTCCCCAYGTCTGGGCTGCATTGGGCATTGTCCAGCCATGGACATTCTGGGGTCAGGACCCAGGTCTCCCTCGGGTGCCTTATTGCATAGGAGGCTGGGTCAAGGGAGCCTTTTCACTTCCCATCATGGGGCTACTTCCTGGAGCTCTGCCCAGGGGACAGGAGAGCTTTATGGTCAGTCCTGTGTCATATGAGTGTATTCAAGGCCCTGATTTCATAAAGTCAGCCAAACAGACGAGACTCCTGTAATTAATTTAAAACACAGTTTGTTGCAGTCATATAGCACTTAAAAACCGGAAGAGTGTTTGTTTAGTAAAGTGCTGTGTACTTTCTCTGTGTTCATTAGCATGACTGAACACATTTCTATTGACTATGTAGAATATGTTTACTTAAAATTAGGCCTGCTTCAGCGTGTGAGCGAGCGGCTCCCCCTCACCCCGCACCGCGGCAGCCAGGAAGGGAGCACGGTCAGGAGCCGAGTGGCAGCTGCCCGTAGGACACCTGCACTTGGGGTGCCCCTGAGGACYGGCTTCCCCTCATGCTCTCAAAGGCTGACCTTGGCAGCTGACAGATTTTGAAGGTGCAGGGTTGTGTGACCCCCAGCCCAGGACACCATTCCTGCCTTGCTGGACACAGTGCTCTGGGTCTGGATTCGGGAGGCTGTTTGGCTTCCAGGTCTGACCCAGCCCTCGGCTTCTGCACCTGTGGAAGGAACCACAGGAGTTTCAATCTAGTTCTTTTTAAAAAACGCCCCCTCATCCTAAAAGCTAACAGCCACCAAGCAGCACCATGGCTATACAGGGCAGGACCCCCTCCCCATCTGTTCCCAAGTTCGAATGTGCTGTCAATGCAGATTTCCCGCCCCGGAACTGGACGGCCTGAAGGTCAATACCAAGCACAGATGCTACACTTACACCGAGACCAACTGTGATTTTGATGGAATTTTCCTCGTGGTTTATCTTTACTGAAGTCTCCCGTGTGCCAGGGCAGGTCAGGTGAATGGTACTTGTCACCGCTCACAGCCACCTGATGTCCCCAGTAGGTTGGGCTTTGCCAGCTCCCTCCCACAGATGATGAAACAGGGCTCAGAGGATGTAAGGGTGCTCCTAAGGCCACAGAGCCACAGCACAGCAGTGGCGGAAGTCAACCAAATCCAGCCTCCTCACGGGCTGTCTGGAACCCGTGTTCAGAAGCACAAATGAGCAGCTTCACACTGCATCGGCCACCCAGGGCTGCGAGGGCACCACCCAGGGCTGCAAGGACACCACCCAGGGCTGCRAGGGCACCACCCAGGGCTGCGAGGGCACCACCGTGCTGTGCCAAGACCTGAAAAGTGAGAGGAAAGAACTGCCAGCTGTGTCCTTCCTTTCCCATAAAAGGGAAGACCAAATAGTTGATGAAGAAAGGTTGTTTTGATGCAGAAGACCTCCAGCTAGCCAGCGCAGAGGAAGGGCAGAGTCAGAAGGCACCATGGTGATAAGGAAATGGCTTCCAGAGCTGCACTTGGGGACTCTGTGAGCAGGTTCCCCAGAAAAACCGGGGAAGCATCCCCAAGATGCAACACTGAAGGGGACACATACTGTCTGTGAGGTGGCCTCTTCTGAAGGTTGGCCTGAGCCCAGTCCAGCCTTCAGCCCCGTCATCTCACAGCAATGGGAGGGACAGCCCATCTCCCTGGGCTGCCCATGCCCTCAAGAAAAGGATCATGGGCAGGTCTGTGGAGCACAAAAGGGACCAGGCACCTGTGATCAAAAGTGACACACAGACATGGTCTGGAGCAGGATCCAGAACAGCCAATGGTGCAGCTTGAACATGGGCCCCATCGGCTGCCACGGGAGCCTCGCTGATTTCATCAGGAGTGGTCATGGCGTGTGGTCCTGTAGAAAAGGGGCATCTGATTAAATGCCTGCCAAGATGATGACATGGGACAGGATGTGGCATCAGGGACTCATTTTGAAGATCCGGCTAGATTTAGGGTGGCCGAAAGTTGGACCTGGCCTGTCCATGGTCAGCAGCATGAAGCCGAGTGACGAGGCACAGGGGTTCTTCCTGCGCTTCCCTCCCCCCYGGGTGGGTTCCAGGATGTCTATAATAAAATGTGAGCAAGAGAACCCTGTGTGGTGGAATGCRCAGGTGCCTAGCCTCCCCGGTGGGCCTCTGCAGATGCAGGTCCTGGCCTTCAGCTGCCCCAGGCCGGGCACATATGGGGTTGGGTCCTAGATGTGGGGCAGTGTGACTGTGCACTTGTTTGTCATAGCCTGTGGCCCTGGGAAGGCAGGGTGGAGCTGTCCATCCTCCATCCTGCCGCCCGGGAAGATGTACAGAGACCAAGGGAGCATCTCTGCAAAACTCATGTCTTCTCTGTGGTCCTTTCCTTTAGAGGAGGTGGCTTTTAGAAAGAAGAGGCTGTGCATCAAATTCATCCCCCGGGATTCCACTGAAGCTGCCATCTGTGACATTCGGATCATGGGCCGGACCAAGCAGGCCCCTCCTCAGTACACGTTTATTGGGTAAGTTTATAACACAGGTGTCATCTGCTGCTGTCCGTTGTGAGTGCTCGGACACTCCTCGGGTGAGGCCCTCCCAGCCCGGGCCCTCGTTCTGCCCTCCTGCTGTGCTGCAGCTGTGCAGCTTGGCAGGCCTTTGGCCTCCCTGTGCCTCGCCTGGTGCGGACTGCCACCTCTGGACCTCCCTTTCCCTGTCCTGTGCAGCCACCCAGGCCCCCTGATCCCTCTGCAGATTTATGGTGTGCCCCTCCTGTGTGAGAGCAGGCCCTGTGTGTGCAGAGGCGAGGGGAAGACCCCRTCCTCACCACACAACAAACAAGAAAAGAGATGATTTCAGATGGTCAAGAAAACGGGACTCGGTGAGGCATGGGCTGCTTCAGTGAGGGGGTCAGGGCGGCAGCATTGCACCAGAGACTCAGTGTCAAAGAGTCCAGCCGTGGACATGAGCAGACCGAGCCCACAGGTGGAGCCGGCAAGCTGTAGGCTGGTGGGACTGAGCATCTGTGTTCTGGAAACAGAAGCATCCCTGTGTGGCCGGAGCAGACATGGAGGGACAGGGTGTGGGGGCTGCGAGGGAAGCCATCTGCAGGGCTCCAGGACGTAGTGGCTGTCTGGGTTTTATCCCAGTGGGAAGCCGTCAGATGGTCTGAGTCAGGAAGAAACACAAGTAGTAGCCCTGATAATTCACTGTGCAGTTTTGGACCAGCTGTTTGTCTTTGCTGATGAGCAGGGAACTGCCAGGGCCAGGGCCAGGTTGTGTCAGGTTCACCCACAGCTGCAGCACCAGGCCTGGCCCCAGAGCCACGTCATAAATACCAACTCTCATGAAATCGCAGGTTTCACTCTGGGCTCTTTTTGTTGTTGTTTGTGGTACCAGGGATTAAACCCAGGGGCTCTCGGYCACTGAGCCATATCCCTAGCCCTATTTTGTATTTTATTTAGAGACAGGGTCTCACTGAGTTGCTTAGCACCTCACCATTACTGAGGCTGGCTTTGAACTCTCCATCCTCCTGCCTCAGCCTCCTGAGCCGCTGGGATTACTGGTGTGTGCCACCGTGCCCAGCTCTGGGCTGTTTAGATTGTAAGTGACAGGAAACCCAACCCAGGTAGCTTGAGCAAAAGGAAGAATTTGTTGCCTGACACAGCAGAAGAGCTCTGGGCAGATTGGCTTCAGTGGTCAGAGGGTTTCCCAGGATGCCCAGGACATCTTYCTCCTTGCTTAGAGTCCTCTGGAGGACCCCATCTGATACCTGATCTCTGGGGGAAGCAATCAGGGTGCACGCCTTCACCCACGTTCCTGGTAGTTCACACAGRAGCTCTGGAGTTCAGTCTCGTTGTCTGACTGATCTAACTAGGGTCTGGGGCACCCTTACCTGGACACTGGTATCGGGAAGATGCCAGTCTTTGATGGCCCAGGCTGAACCAGAAGCAGGGTCAGCTCCACTGGAACTCAAGGATGAACAGCGAGGAGGTGTCTGCCCCGGACCTGGGAGGGGAGAGGAGGGGAGGGCCAGCAAGGGGAGGAAATAGGTGCTAGACGTCCAGAAGGTGGACGTTTGCTGTGCTCCATCAGTGGAAGGGGATCTCGGGAGCCGTGTGCAGTCTTGGGCCCCGTGCTGCTGCCCCTGGCCAGGCACTCCTGTCACTGAGGAAGCACCCTCCACCTGGCCGAGGTCAGCCTTGGGTGGTCTGTACTCTGTCTTGCTCTTGTTCACTTGAGCCCAGAGCTGCCGTCACTCTCTAAGCAGGGCCTTCCCTCCCGTAGACATGGCATGGCCACAGCCACAGAGGTGGCCGTGCGTGCTGCCGTGTGCGTGAGCAGCGCTTTCTTCACGCTTCAGCTGGGGACACTGATGCTCGGGATCTAGGCTTTGTGGTTCTTAGCAGGAACTCGAGCTGGGAGTGTAGCTGCGAGGTGAGCTCTGATTTRGCACGCACGAGCTCTGGGTTCAGTCCCAGCACCAACACATAGAAGACAGACAAAAACAAATGGACTCTGCGATCGTTCCTTTCTTTATACTCTCAGACTTCCTGTTTGGCAGAAAGGTTTAATTACAGAGGTAGGATTGCAGGAGTAAGAACTAGGTACGGGAATAACCACAGGTTGGTACTGGYGTGCAGTTACTTGCAAGTGGTAGAAACCAACAATTTTGTAATGAACTTTCAAAATCTAATTTTAGTATTTTTAATTACCAACTATGCTACTGTAAGAAGATGTAATTTTAACCAATTGAAACAATTCTGAAGAATAGGTTTTTACTAATGTTTGTAATCAAAACTAGAGTCTTTTCCCCTATCATTTTGAAAAAATCGTTAAAGTGTAGTTTCATTTCATCTTGGGCCAAAAATTCTTTCCCAAGGGAAGACAATTCCAATGTTAGTTTTAAGTAAGGGAAGAGAACTCAGGGTCAGAACAGAGTCACTTTTTTTTTTTTTTTTACTATTTTTTTAGTTGTAGTTGGTCACAATATCTTTATTTTATTTATTTATTTTATGTGATGTTGGGATGGAACCTAGTGCCTCACACGTGCTAGGCAAGCGCTGTATTGCTGAGCCACAACCYCAGCCCCAGAGTCACTTATTTTTCAAAATAGGCACACTTCCTATGTAGCTTCACAAGGTGCGGGGCCATCCACCCAGGAGGCACAAACCTCACATTCAAGAATGTGCACTGAAAACCTTACCAAAAATATCTACAGAATATTTTTTTTCATGTTTTGAAGAGGTGGTCTTCCTCTCTTTCTGGTCCCAAAGATGGTCCTGTCTCCTGTGCACGTTCTGCAGGGCAGTGGAGAAGTTGGATGTGACTGAAATAGTACTGTGAAGTTCCCAAGCATGTACCTGTCTCATAAGCATGGCCTTGTGGTGTGGGCTGGGCCACTGTGGCTGTCACACTAGTAGCAGGAAATGTCATGTGCATGTCCACTCTAGTGGTGGCTTGTGGGGCATGTGCTTCRGGTTTTGTGGTTTGAAGTCATCTTCTCAGCTGGTCTTGGGGTGAAGCCAATGCAGGTGACATCCGTGCGAGGGGTTGCCTCCTGAAACTGGGGTGCATCTTAGGGTAGGTGGAGAGATCCCTCTCCTGGTTAAAACCCAGGCATGCTCATCCATGGGACTACTCTTCCATCAGTCTCTCCCTAACAGGGGGATTTCCTAGGGGTTGTCACAAAGCTACTGATCCTGGGAGGGTAAAATAGAAAGCAGTTCAGAGTGAGAGGCGAGGAAGACACAGCTGCGGTGGGAGGCCAGCCCAGACGGGTAAGACGGCCCTGCAGCACAGGTGCTCTCGCTGTGAGGCCCAGGGCAGAAGGTGCAGTGATGGGACCTGTCACTTGGGCAAGAACTGACCTCTGGGGTTTGAGGCAATGACTGGTTTGCTTTGCGGCTCAGGTTCGTGCTCCAGGCCAAACAGCGCCATGAAGATTTCTCTTTTCTCCTGCAGGGAACTGAACAGCATGGGGATCTGGTATCGAATGGGCAGAGTGCCTAGAAATCACGACTCATCTCAACCCACAACACCCTCGCAGTCCTCGGCCGCCTCCACCCCAGCCCCCAACCTCCCCAGGTGAGGCCTGGTCSGGTTGTCCGATGTGCTTGCTCACGTGGTCTTGGGTTCTGAGGCATGTTTTAAAACACACCTGCTTAATGTCTGATGAAATAGTGCACGGTGTCACTGAGCACTTGTRCAAGTTTAGTTTAAACTTGTGCCTCTAGAGGAGATTTTTTAAAAGCCCAGTTAGAAATCTGTGCATGACATGAATGGAAAGGCCTTCCTGTCTCCCGTGCACATGATGCAGGGTCCTAAAACAACATATGCCACTGAAATTGTCTTTCTGTTTGAAGGAACTCAAGAGATGTGCAGACATGGGCGTGGTGACCACATGGCTGGAGGCACCTGCCACCAAAGGGCGGCTTCTCTTCCTCAGCCAGCCAGTCCTCTGTGACCCAGGAGGGCCGGTTGGCAACTCTGTTCATTTTCATGTTGTTCCTTCCCAGTGAGCCCCAGACTGAGAAGTGGGTACCTTGGATTTTAGAGGCAAGTGGGAAGCTTCTCAGGAGATGGTGCTGATTTTAATGGTTGACCCACAGAGACTCGTGGTTAATGGAACTGGTTGCTCTGCAGCTGGTTTCAGTCCCAAAAGATGGAGTGATTCTCCCCACACGTTTTATGAAAAGCAGAGAATAAACAGAGCCGCATCAGACACAACCCCTTTGCATCACTAGAAGTAAATAGTTTGAGGGCCGCGAGCAAACAGCCATGGCGACTAGGATTGCAGCAGTGGGTAAAGCAGGAAGGTTGGTGACACGGCATCTGGGGGCTAACATAACAAAGAAGGTTGCCACAGACAGCACGCAGAGGTGAGTGCCGAGCAGAGCCTTGCCACAGCAGAGCCCCTCCTGGGCTCCACACCACCCCCCGCCCCACCCCCAGTCTCCCCCTCTGCTGCTGTTCCTCCATGCTGGGCCACTGTAAGGAACCCCTCAGCTCCAAGGACTCTCTTGTCTTCCTCCAGTTTCATCAACGAAGGTTGGAATTTAAACTAGACTACCCCTGAACTGCCTGAAGCTCTGGAAGCAGTTTGCAGTTTCCCTGGTATAAGCAGGTGTGGAGAGCTAGTGAGCTTCCCAGAGCTGCGGGCTGAGCAGCCACGTCTCCCCCCGCTCAGGAGTGTGAGGCTGGCAGTACTTGTTTCTTACTTTCTGGCTGGCCAACAGCATTGTCACAGCTCTGTCTTGGAGGGCACTGCTGAGGKTCACCATCAGCAGAGCTCAGGCCAGCTGAGGCCCATACCTGTGCCAGGGATGTCATCTCAGTCCATCACCTGGACTAGAGTTCATGCTTGATGTTGGCTCCAGTTTGGGCTCCTTGTAGGGGTTGGAGAGCCCCAGGGTTCTGTTACTTAGAGTGGCCCCTTGTTGACATCACAGGGCCTGGAAGGGCCCAGGGTGAGCACCACCTCAGGACAGGTGTTAAACTGCTGGATAAACAAGGAGCACCAGAGCTCCCAGGTGATGTGGGGACAGTGCTGTCCCACAGCAGGAGGGCAGGGTCACTGGCAACCAAAGCAGGTGGCCCTGGACGCCCGGCCACTGGAGCCAGGCAGAGTTGTAGGGTAGCGCATCAGAACAAAGTGTTTATAAGGCTTATATATTTTATAACCTCTGTTGTACAGTTTATGGTTTACAATGGCTGCAAGGAAATTGGATCAGTTTTGTTTTACTTGCCAAATAAAACAAATGTCAAAATAGTCAATATAAAATGTATTCTAATTTGACTGAGTTAAGTCCGCCCGTGGTGCAGTAGGGTCGTTGAAGGTGTGTTAATGCTTCCAGGTGAAAACCACTGTCTGTGCCACACTGTCCTCTCTCGCCGTGTGGCGATATGCAGGTGGCGGCACAGCTTCGGGTGCCTCTTGATCCATTAGGGGTTCTTCCTTTTATGGGGCTTGGGGGTGTTTGGGATTGTGTTTTCCTATCTGATATCTTTGACTTGAAAACAAATGAAATGCCGATGACTTATTTGAATTTGGCACGGAAGACGTAGGAAAGGGGAGTGTGCTGTTTAGTTCCTTGAGGTGTCGGGTCTCTCTCAATCCCCCAGAAAAGGAACTGACAGCCTTCTCTCTGGAGGTGGGTGTGGTGCAGTGTTTGCAGCAACCTACAGGGTAAGGGCGGAGCTCCTCCTTAGACTCTGGGCCTCCTTGTCCAGCTCCMAGGTTTCCTGCCTCTGTCTCCCAGCCCCCAGGCCCACCGGGCAGCCTCCTCTTGCTGTCCTGTTCTGGGCCTCTGTGCATCGTGTGCCCTGCACCCCAGCCCTGGGTCTCCTCTCCCAGGAAGCTTTCCCTGAGCCCCTGGGCTGGGCTCTGCTYTTTCATGCTGGGCTGTGCTTTTGCCCCTCTGGGGCAGGGGCGGGAACCGGGTCTTGTCCCTTATTATGTCCCCAGCACGCTGCTGGATCCTGGCACGAATTCACAAGGACCCTGTTCTGTAGCCCCTCCAGATGACTCCCCAGTCCTTGGGCACTGTAGGGTTTTTTCAATTGCAAGAGAAATACAGCTTTGTAGAAAATTGGCAGAATGTAGAAAATAATGGAAAAACAAATTCCATTTCCAGTGAGTGAATGCTCATAACCTTTTGTTGTATTTTCTTCAGGACCTTTTTTCTGTGTGCTTTTTTACATAGGTGATGATATAGCATGTAATAGCAAGCTGGTGGCTCGCTCTGTTTTCTCGTGGCCTATTAAGCCACAAACACTAGAAACACTTCTTCCAGTGTGGTCTTTGTGTGGATGCTGCCGCTGGATCAAATGCTGCCGCCTGGGCTGCAGGAGAGCGGTGGCACAGCGCCCTCTACTGACCAACCAGGAGGTGGCAGGGAGCAGCAGGTGCCAGTCATTCTCCCCCCATCCCTGGGCTGGAAGGAAGAGGCTGGGGTCCCTAGACAACGTGCTGCCCTCATCTCAAAAACAACGTGTGCTCTGCCTTCATTTCTTTTGTCATCACTTAGATTTCAAAGAATCCCCAGTTGTTCTGAGGGCGAGCTGTCACCCCCAACTTTATTTCAAACAAAAGGGGCATTTGGTGGATCTTTTCACAGATGACTGGCCATCACCTGAGCACCTCCTGTCCTAGCAGAGCTGCCTTCTCTTTCCAGAGGCAGACATTGCCCCTGGGAACAAAAGCTTCCCATATCGCAGAAAGTGCTCATGGTGRAACCAGGTACGAGTCCCCTCCCAGCACGGGCAAGTCCCTGGAGGGCCAGGGTGCTTCTTGTCCGTATCCAGTGAATCACATGCTGTGTTTGATGTAGTTCATGTCAAAAGGGGGCATCAAATGGCTCCACAGGGCTCCTCTTCCTGTGCAGGGAGTCAGCTCACACACAAGCATCTCTGCACACAGCAGACAGGGAAGACGGGCAGGCTGCTCCCAGAACTTGAGCCTGTGTCTCTGGCAGGGCAGAGGCCCTGCTCACTTCGTGCACATTGACCAGCAGGGTGGAGCTGGCCTTGGAGCGTCCTGCCTGCCCACCCCTCTCTGGGCTGGCTTGGGCCCCCGCTCAGTGCTGCCGCCTTGGGGAGGGTGTGCCCGCAGAGAAAGCACCTTTCCAGCTTCACCCAAGCAACACGCCACCCCCTCTTACAGTAGGGTCTTTCATTCGATTCTGCTGGGAAGGGACTTCTTCTGCTTTTAGGATGAAGATTTGGAAAAGCTCCAGGAGGCAGAGGATCTAAAGCTGTTCAAGTACCAGGAGCCCCCAAATGTGGACAGATGAACGGTTTTGTGTCACCTGGAAGGAGGTGCTGGTGGGACGCTGCTCCTGGCCTGCTAAGCAGTAGAGTCAGCGACTTGATAAAGACATAGAGACATGGAGCTCAGACCCGCAGATAACAAGGACTCGTTAGGGAGAGCTGATGTGTGGATGACAGAATGAACACACCACATCTCCACAGCCCCTTGCCCTGGGGACCGGGAGATGAAAGGTGAAGGCACCCACAGAGGTGCCCCTGAGTCCCCACAGTCCACAGCCCAGGAGCCAGACTAAGGAGACTGGACTGGGCCCAGCAGTGTGTGTGTGCAGTATGGCTAGGGAAGCAGCCTGCCATGCTCAGCAGGGGATGCCTGGAGGCCATGCCCCGTCACACCTGTCAGGTACATAGAGAGTCACCCACAGCCACACAGACCACCTAAAAGTCACTTGAGTGCAGTGCTGTGCTCTGACCTGGGTCGGCCACAAGCAGCTGGCTTCTGAGGTCCACGTGGGCAGTGTGGTGTTTCTGGGTGGGGCTGGAGAGGGGGCCGCTGGGAGCACAGAAGGCAAGGTAGGGTCAGGTGGGCTTGGGTTACAAGAAGGCAGATTTGGACTCAACTTTTTAAAAAATTGAAAAGTGAAATTTACCAACGGTGGAGATTCTGTGGCATTGAAGAAGCTCCCTGGGGTTCAACAGCTCCCTGCTGCCTGGGATGGCCAACAACGTCAGATTTTCAGACCTCGGTGACAACTGGGGTCACGGTGCTTCTCAAGCTGGTTTAAAAAATGTGCCACCTTCCCCGTCCCAAGAGCAGCACTGAAGATGGCCAGTGGACAGGGAGGACACAGAGTGGGCATTGGCTGCAGAGCTCAGCCTGGGCGTCTGCAGCCACCACCATTCCTGCTTGCAGCACCRATGACAGGGAAGGAGGCTGGCATGAGGCAGGTGCTGCTGTGGCCTCATCCCCAGGAGGGCCCGTGTCTCAACCCAGCGCTGGCACCCGTGAGCTGACGAGAACGGTCCTGTCCCCTGCAGAGTCTATCTGGAATGAGTGATCTGGACCCCAGACGTCTAGAACTTCCAGATACTTAATGCCAGGTGGCCCTTGGGTTGGGCTGCCCTGGAAGGCCTGGCTGTGTGGCTCCAGCAGCTGCAGTCCGCTCTCCCGTCTCCTGGGTGTGGAGTCACCTGCTCTGTGGTCCTGAAGGAGGAGAGCTTCCCGTGACCCCAGGCCCTGGGGTTGTGTGCAATTCCTGTGCCCCTTGCCAACCACCCTCCTCGGGAGAAAGGCCAGCTTCACACTGGAAGCCACCAGC